AGGCCTCCGAAGCAATCTACCATCCTTCCTTAAGAACTTTTAACTGACAGACATTTCCGTGTTCGAGTCAATAACATGCTTTCCCCGGACTTCATCCAAGCTGAAGGTGTCCCTCAGGGATGTGTTCTGAGCACAACACTTTCTCCTTGCTATAAATGATTTGGCCGCTGTTCTTCCACCCAATATTTGGTCATCACTCTATGTTGATGACTTCACTATTGCTTGTGCAGGCGTTGACTGTCAATTCATTACAGTTTCTCTCCAGCATGCGGTCGACCGTGTTTCCAATTGGGCCACCACGCATGGGTTTAAATTTTCCAGTACCAAAACTTGCCAAATTACTTTCACTAGACGCTCTGTCATCTCCGATCATCCTTTGTACCTCTATGGCTCCCGTATCCCTGTACGTGATACAGTCAGGTTTCTAGGCCTTCTCTTTGACCGTAGGTTATCCTGGAAACCTCACATTACCTCTCTGAAGGCAACTTGTCACAGCCGGCTGAGCCTTCTTAAAACCCTTGCTCATCTTTCCTGGGGAACTGATTGTCGAACTCTGCTTCGCCTACATTCAGCCCTCATTTTATCGAAACTCGATTATGGTGACCAGATTTATTCAGCGGCCTCCTGCTACTCTCTCTAGCCTTAACCCCATCCATCACCAAGGATTATATTTATGCCTTGGTGCTTTTCGCTCTTCCCCTGTTGAGAGCCTCTATGCAGAAGCGAATGTTCCATCCTTGTCTGATCGCCGTGATGCCCATTGCCTTCGCTACTATGTACGCTCTCACGATCTCCGCAATCCTTAAATTTATAGAATGGTTACCGATATTAGTAGACTTTCTTTATTTGTTTGCCGCCCCTGTTTGCTCCGTCCCTTTTCTCTTTGCCTACATTCGCTCTCGTCTTCCTTCATTTACCACCTTTATATGTTCATGTAGCATCTCACTTTTCCCTACCCCCCTGGGAAGTTCCAGCTGTTCGGGTCTGTTCTTTCTCACTCCCTTGCTCGAAAGCCCAACTGCCTACGGTGGCTTCCCGCTCTCTTTTTCTTGACCACTTCAACTCTCATTCTGATGCCATCGCAGTGTACACAGATGGCTCTAAGTCTTCAGACGGCATTGGATTCACAGCAGTATTTCTGGACAGCGTCGTGTGAGGGCATTTACTATCTTCAGCTAGCATTTTTACTGCCGAATTGTATGCCATTCTTGCAGCACTTATTCGTATCGCATCTATGCCTGTGTCATCATTTGTGGTTGTCTCAGACTCCCTTAGTGCTCTACAGGCTATACGAAAATTTGATACACCTCACCCCCTAGTTCTCCGTATCCAACTTTGGCTACTCCGTATCTCTACCAAGCATAAAAATATTGTTGTTTGTTGGGTCCCTGGTCATGTCGATGTACAGGGCAATGAACAGGCAGACACTGCTGTGTGGTCAGCATTACATGACCTACCAATTTCATATAGAGGTGTTCCATTTCTGGACTATTTTGCTGTAATAGCTACCCACCTTCACACCCGTTGGCAACAACATTGGTCAACTATCCTTGGTAAGAAACTTCATTCTATTAAACCGAGCATAGGTTACTGGCCGTCTTCTTGTCATCAGTGCCGAGGTTAGGAGACTACTCTCTCCTGCCTTCGTATTGGCCACACTCGTCTTACTCATGGGTATCTCATGGAGAGGCACCCTGTTCCTCTCTGTGAGCAGTGTCAAGTTCCAGTATCAATTAGCCACATTCTGTTAGACTGCCCTCTCTATCAACGAGCACGCAGAATTTACCTCCAACGTCATCTCCGTTCTACTACTCTCTCTTTACCTTCCCTTCTTGCTGATGTACCCTCCTTTAATCCTGACTCTTTCATTGACTCCTTGACAATGACTGATTTACTCCACAAACTCTGATGATGATACCTTTCACACTCCCCACAGCCCTTTCTACCTCAATCTCTTGCTGCCCTCTACCCTTTCACCATCTACTGCCCCGCTGTTCTCCGTAACCTATTACTCATCCATCTCCCTTTTGCCACCTGATACCCTCGCTTCCTTCCTACCCTGCAGCGCTGTATAGCCCTTGTGGCTTAGCGCTTCTTTTTTATTATAATAATAATAAAGAAAGGCATTAACAATTAACAATTTCAATACAATATACACGTACATGTATTTTCATATTCATGCTCGGTTCATGCACAAAAGTTTGACTAAATATTTATCAATTATTTTGGCACAAATTCTGAAACACTGAAAATAAACCTTGTGTTATGCAGGGTTCTGCATGACATTGTAATGTACATATAGTGGACAAGTGTGCCATAATAGTATGAATGTTATAATTGTAAATAATAATTTTATAATTCATAATATGCATTTGGGGGCACTGTAAAGTGCTCTAAATGTAATTATGAAGAAATCCTGCTAGGTAGTTATTTGCCAACTGTGTTTGGGTACGCGGGGTAAGCGTGGCTTGGGGCAGTCACGTGGAGTCAGCATGGTGTGGAGGCTGGGATCAGAGATGCTGTGTGTTTAAGCTAAGTTTGTAGTTGTGTACTCCTTTTGTTTAGCTAACCCAAGCCATAGGCTCTTCTATGGCTTACCTGTATGTTCACCCAGGCTCTGACATGGTCAGGGTGCTGTGGGAGGAGTGAGGAAATAAGAAATGGGGTTTGTAGTGGGGTAGTGACAGCCTGGCGCTGACTAGGCCTAGTGGCTATGGTGGCTGGACCTCCAGCCAGCTGTTTCTTGTGTACCCTCATTTGGGCATTTAGGATTAAGGTGTTTCTAGAGTGTGTATATAGTGTTATGTTGAATAAATATATATATTTTCCTAACTAAGATTTTTACCTAACCCTCTGTTAACCAACCCACTGAAGTAACTCATTCTGGTTTAGCACTTTCTGTTTTGACTGGGATAGCCCTGGGTGGCCTGTTTATGCTTGAGATGTGTGTAACTTTTACCTTTGCCCTTAGACAAGGCTCAAGCCCCCAGGTATCCCACCTTTTGCATAACACCTTGTTTAATGAAGAATTCAATTTTCGGTGAATCCTTGCTGTGGCTGACTATAGGAATGAATGGGTGTTCATTAACCTTTTCACTGTCCATCCTGTATGTCTATGTACATCTGTGTTATGAGCTCAGCTCACTCAGATTTGCTGTGAGCTGTAAATTTTAACCTTGATATGAGAGAATGGATCTGTGTGGTGAGTATGCATAGATTAAAAAATTTTGCTTTATGCGACTTTGAGGTGTTTTCTATGATGGATTTTATCTCTTTATTTGCTGTTTCTTGTTATCACTTGAGAAAATGGAAGACATACTACTGAAATAGAGATGATTTTGTTTGGTTCAAGGACCAAAAGTAGCTTGAAATTGGCTTAAAAGCAATGGAAGTATGTATTTGAGTTTTGCCAATTTTTCTGAGGATGGATAAAGCTTTCCCTACACCCCTTGGTCTGTTTTATGGGTTTTTACTAAGTCTGATTCAATTATTGGGATGCCGTACACCATGACCAATCATTACTGGTTGTATTTTGCTATTCGAGAAATAAGGTAAATTTTTAAATTTTTTTTTGTATGTGATGAATTCAAAATGAAAGGGAAGTGTAAAATAGGAGAGGCCTGGAAACAAAATTAATGGAAAGAGGAAATGTTGTCTTAATGCCTGGAATGTCAACAGTGTTTATTTTGGACTCTGTGCACTTTATAAGGTAGTTTTGATAGTTGAATGGGTGGTTTCTTGTGCTCAGTCGATAGAACACAAGGCACACTAGTGAAAGAGCTAAGAATTTTATCAAAATTATCCATGAATTTGGCTTAAAATAGGACTTAAATTTGGCAAAATCACCAATGCACAAATTGGATCTATACTGCTAACTTTGCACCGGCGTAATTCCATAAGTTTTCCATCAAATTTCATTTTCTGGTATCATTACCTTCAGAAGAAAGACTACCATTTCAGATTTTTTTTTTTTAATGTAAAGACTGAGCACGTTCAATTTCAGAGGTTTGACAGTGAAAGGATTAAATCTAAATGAGGTCATTATTCCATGATCATAAACTGGAGACAAAATGATGGTATGTGAACATGTGTGCAGACAATAACAAATTGATGCAGGCTGAGTCACTAGCCCCACTACCCAGCAACAATGAGAGTGGAAGGATCCAAAACAAAGCCTTGATTGGATAAACTTGCAATTAAGCAAAGTTAATCTATTTTATCAGTGGTATGACTGGACCACACAGCAGTATGATATAGTGCATTTGGTCCCCTTCATGACTTTTAAATTGGACACCCCATTAAATGGACATGTTGAGCCTTTGTCCAGCCATATTTTTTTTTTACATTTCAGCTGCTATACATAAATTGTGGAACCATGAATAAAAGTTTTGCACTCAATTTAAATGAACAGTGACTTACGGTTATGGGATGAATGCTTCCAGCCTTTAGTACCCTTCGAGGGAGGTGTTTTGATGCTGGTGAAGGACTTTTCATACAAGGAATTGGAGCTACTCTCTCTTTCCTCAGATCAAACCTGATTGCCTCCCATTCAGGACCATTGTTGTATATGTCAAAATGACCCAGTCACTTAATGAATTACTTGAAAACTCTGTAACTGCAATTTCTATTGATAGTGATCTACTGGAATTTAGCAGCTCTAGAAAAGATACAGAAGTAGTTTGCAGTGGCATACCGAATGGAGCCAAGACAGTTTTAGTATAAAGGGACTTCCTTTTGATTATAAGACTAATAATGATAATAACAGTACAAAGGCAAAAAGAATGTGACGTGATCGGCATGTTGCACTGAATTTGATTTAAGTAGCACAAACTCATGTATTACAGTGAGGAAAGTACAGATATGCTCACTGTAGCAGTGTAATGACAAGATCTGGTGAAATATGATAAATGTCATTAAAATCATGAGTTACGGTATACTTGATATGTAATATAACCTTAATTAGGTTTGTGATGCAAGAAGTAGCAAGAAAAAAGGTTTACCGTTCGAGGTGGGATGCCAGAATCTCGTGCCAGTACCACAATATGAGCCACTGTGGAATTCAGTGATGTTAGATCCCGAATCCTTAGCTCTCCATCATTGCCAATGGCAAACATTCTGAAAGATTAAGCAAGAAAATAATATGACAAAAGAAACATTGTGATACTGAATAAATGATCCTGGGTATAAAGACCATGAATGAACACTTGATCTAAGGAACTGGGCTTATCCTTTCCTTCCTTGGAATGAACATGAATGCCTCCCATTACCCAAGTGCTGTGTGACATCTGCAGGTTTAGCATTTTCCAGTTAAAATAAAGAAAAAATGGACTAGATGATTAACTTCTTTGCTGCTCTAAATTATGATATCTGGAAGAATCATTAGCAGACAAGGAATAGGAAGCAGTAAAAGAAAATTATAAAAATCATACTTAGCATCTTGTCCCATGACTGTAAGAGTTATTTGGTCTCCTCGATCTCCATCAGCAACCTCCACATTTCCTATAGCATCTCCTGGTCTTAGAGTGGTTGAAGAGACAAAAAATTCATACTGAGGGTAGCGAAAGCGTGGATCCCAGTCATTTACATTTAGTACTTGCACTTTCAGCGTGGCTGTGTCATTCTGTGAGTTGACAGTACAACAAGGTACATATATTAGTCACTTCAAATCATTTATTTCTGAATATTCAAGCAGGATATTTATTATAAAATACAAGTTTTAAAATTCAGTTAAAGAACTATTAACTATAATTAAAGAACTATTACACCAATTTAATTTGTCAAAAATTAATCAATGAACATCCTGTATATAGATACTGTATAATTATAGACATTTTTCCGACAATTCATGGAAGCATAATAAAAGAGCATAAAGTACAATACAGTACTTACAAATTCTCCATCCATTACATAAACTTTGAGGTCATACTCCTGTTTAGTCTCATAATCAAGGTCATAGTCGAGAAGTATTTGTCCAGAAGGTGAAATGCGGAACACTCCATCCCCGTCCTTCTCTAGACTGAATCTTATATTCTGTTGGACAGTCACTTTATTATTTATAGAAAAAAAAAATGGAAAGGGGTTTGACTGAATGAGAATTATATGCCAAAAGTCAAGTGATGCTGAATAAGAAAAAGTATAGTAATGAAGGAGAAATTCTGATCATAAAAGGAGAGGAGATAAAGAATTATAAGTTAAAGATGAAAACTAAAAAAAAGTAAGGTTAAAAACAAGAAGCTGAATAGATGGGAGGAGTCAAAAATGGAAAGAACATGAGTTAAAGATTGAAAAATTAACAATACATATAAAAGAAAACTTAGAGATGAGTCAGAAGTTTAAGTGGAAGAAGTATTTAAAAAGGGTCAAAAAAGAAGTTTCCAATATGTCTGAAGTGAAGATGAAAAAATCAAAACAATATTAATAAATATTTAAATATGTGGTACATTAATTTTCCTTAGGTGATGTTGGATGGCCAGTATTGCTGATAAGTTTGCTAGAAAGACTTGACATTTTGCTCTAGGAAGAGCTTTATTAAGTCACGACTCTACCTAGAGCAAAACACACTATAATAAAGGTTTGCTCTGTGCCAAGTGTCTTTCTAGCATGTCTGAAGTGAGTTCTCAGTATAAATTATTATTTTACTAAAAAATCAAGTGCCAAACCTGTATGGGTCATACAGATCACATGATAAAGAATTTGTTCTAAGTGGCAATGCTACTATGTACCTTGTCAATATTTTTGTTGATCATTGTAGGTGCGATGAGAGAGTGTCTAGGCAAACTTTCCAGTACTGTTGCCACATAATCCCGCTGAATGAACTGCAGTTGTGTGGAGTAGTATCCTCGTCTAGACAATGTAATTGTTGTCAAGGCATATCTGTCAGGGTTGTCTACCTGCGTTGCCTGTGAAGACAGAAAACATATTAATACAATATTGCATTGTTGAAAATAATTTTCACTGTTACAACTTTAGATAATAAATTCTTTACATTCAGTTAATAAATGGAAAAATTATAAAATCCATCGACAATATATGACTTTAAATAGGTATACCAGTCATCTTTAAAATAAATAATAGCTATAGCCATCAGGATCTGCAGACTCCTCAACCTTTCAACCACAAACTAAGTGTTCTACCTATAATCTACTTGATTGTAAATATGTACAGTGCTCGTCACGGCATTATGCCAGGTGAGCGCCCCAACATAATGCTGTGAAGAAAATCAAAGGCCTACTTTACAAGGGGGTCTTTTTTGTCAATGCATTCTGCTGGGTAGCAGCCATTAGCAAAATGTTGCGGCCTGCCACCACACTTCACAGTAACTTCTCATTGCTCATGTGGCTGCCATGGTGAGAGGAAGTGTTGCAATGTTGTCTCTCATTTGCCCCATCTTTTGTCTGGTGCTCCCTTTGGTTTTGGGGCTATATATGTTTGATTATGGGTAAAAGGAAGTCTTTAATACCTGAAACTATAGCTCAAATCATAGGGCTTCACAAAACTGGGCACCAGACGAAAGAAATAGTGGAGAATGTTAGTATGTGTGTGTTCAGTGAGGAACTGGGTGCAGCGTTTCAAGGGTGGTGGTGGTGGTGTCGAGTTACCTTCTGCCAAACCTTATCCTGGCCCCTCGAAGAAGACATCTGTTCGTACCTTAACTGTGTTAAAAAAGCAGGTAGAGAGTAACTGCATCTTCAACACAGGTAAGGTACAAACAGATGTCTTCCTTGAGGAGCCAGGCCGAGGCTTGGCAGAAGGTAACTCGACACCGCTACCAGCCTTGAAACGCTGCACCCAGTTCCTCTCTGAATGCTCACAGACACTTAACATTCTCCACTATTTCTTTTGTCTGGTGCCCAGTTTTGTGAAGCCCTATGATTTGAGCTATAGTTTCAGGTGTTAAAGACTTCCTTTTACCCATAATCAAACACGTATATATCCCCAAAATCAAAGGGAACACTGGACAAAAGATGGGGTGGATGAGAGACAACAGAGCAACACTTCCTCTCACCACGGCAGCCATGTGAGCAATGAGAAGTCACTGTGAAGTGTGGTGGCAGGCCGTGGCATCATGCTAATGGCTGCTACCTAGCAGAATGCACTGATGAAAAAAGACCCCCCTGTATGGTAGACCTTTGATTTTTGTCACAGCATTATGCCGGGGCACTCACCAGGCATAATGCCATGACGAGCACTGTATATGAGAACGATTGAACTTTTTTTTATGTCTAAATATTCAACTACAAAATAACCCTTTAAAACTCTGTACAGTATTAGCTTTAGTTTTGCCTAAAATTTTAGCCAAGTGTATTTATTAAATTTACATAAATATATTGTACTACATTGTTCTATGAATGAGATTATGCACAGTACTGTATTTGTAAGCAGATGAAAGCATAGAAAAATGGCAAGGACTACTGACAACTATTACAAAAAGTAATAAAAGCTTCAAAACAACAGTGAATGAGACCCACCCTGACAACAAGAGTGGTAGGTTGGTTGAGCTTGTCATCTGGAAGGTCTTCAGCGAGAGTTACTTCTCCAGTCTTAGGGTCAATGCTGAACCAAGCTGCTTCTTCCTCTTCTGCTGGCACAAATATGATTAATCCCCCTTTTTTTTAATCATCTGTATATATTTCTTGACTACTGCCTACATGTTGGTATGGGGTGCATTGTGCCTACATGTTGGTATGGGGTGCATTGTTCAAATCTAATACTGTATCTGTATGTTAAGACAAATCTAATACTGTATCTGTATGTTAAGACAAATCTAATACTGTATCTGTATGTTAAGACAAATCTAACACTGTATCTATTTTTTTTTTAACAAACCGGCTGTATCCCACCAAGGCAGGGTGGCCCAAAAAGAAAAACGAAAGTTTCTCTTTTTAAATTTAAATCTTACAACACGCATGGCTACGGAGGAAGAATTCTGTTCCACTTCCCCATGGAGATAAAAGGAAATAAACAAGAACAAAAACTAGAAAGAAAATAGAAGAAAACCCAGAGGCGTATGTATATATATGGTTTTGTGGGCAAGGGGCTTGGACTTCCAGCAAGCGTGCGTGAGCATGTTAGATAGGAGTGAATGGAGACGAATGGTACTTGGGACCTGACGATCTGTTGGAGTGTGAGCAGGGTAATATTTAGTGAAGGGATTCAGGGAAACCGGTTATTTTCATATAGTCGGACTTGAGTCCTGGAAATGGGAAGTACAATGCCTGCACTTTAAAGGAGGGGTTTGGGATATTGGCAGTTTGGAGGGATATGTTGTGTATCTTTATATGTGTATGCTTCTAGACTGTTGTATTCTGAGCACCTCTGCAAAAACAGTGATAATGTGCGAGTGTGGTGAAAGTGTTGAATGATGATGAAAGTATTTTCTTTTTGGGGATTTTCTTTCTTTTTTGGGTCACCCTGCCTCGGTGAGAGACGGCCGACTTGTTGAAAAAAAAAAAAAAAAGAAAAAAAAAACATGTATGTGTAGTGTGACCTAAGTGTAAGTAGAAGTAGCAAGATGTACCTGTAATCTTGCATATTTATGAGACAGACAAAAGACACCAGCAATCCTACCATCATGTAAAACAATTACAGGCTTTCGTTTTACACTCACTTGGCAGGACGGTAGTACCTCCCTGGGTGGTTGCTGTCTACCAACCTACTACCTAGGGTGTATCTGTATGTTAAGACAAATCTAATACTGTATCTGTGTGTTAAGACACGTCTAATACTATATCTGTATGTTAAAACAAATCTAATACTGTATCTGTATGTTAAGATAAATCTAATACTGTATCTGTATGTTAAGACAAATCTAATACTGTATCTGTATGTTAAGATAAATCTCTACTTTATAAAATACTGTATAGTACTGCACTATAAATGTTAAAGTTTTAACAAAAATAATTATGTACCGTTATATTACAATATTCTTCTTTCTATTATGATAACATCCACTGATTTTTGTGAAAGCACATCACTGAACCATAGTAACTTGCTTAGATAATACCACCCAAACTTCGGTACACAGTGTATGGTATAATGGTATAATTGTAAGTAAGACACGGATGTTACAGTATATACCAACATACTCTATACTGTATGTAAGTGGCTATACTAACCTCTACTGAAGGAATAAAAGACAGGGGCCATAATACCCTCATCCCTATCCAGTGCCTCTACTGTTTCTGGTTGAATCTCCACCTTGGCTCCCTGCATCAGGATAAAAGGATTGGTTAACAGTCTACCTAGAGTAAGTTAAAACATTTAGGCTGCTAGATTTAGGTATGTAGATTTGTGTGATTTTTATCCTGCAACATAATGCTGCATTTTAAAAGAATAAATTTCAACATTTATCATACATACATAATGAATAATGCAAATTTACCACAAGTATATATGTGGTATAAACACAATTTAGATTGACCTTGATTGGATTATCAGGGATAACGGCCATGTAGTGGTCTCTAGTGAAGGCAGGATTCTGGTCATCAGCATCTTGCACTTGTACTGTGAGCACTGTGCTGCTGCTCTGTGGAGATGCTCCTTGATCCTAAGGGCAAGCAAACAATGCTCATGCTAACACTCATAAAACTTGTGTATTAGAGAAATAAGCACTGTTGGCTTTTATATATACAGTACCCAATACCACTGACTACCTCATATTTATTAAGTATGTCCTTGTATAGTTTATTGTGTTATGCCATTAACTAATATTTAAAAACATAAAAAATTATGAAATGTTTTAAATTGCAGAGATCCTAAGAGTTCAAACAATCTACAAGATCAATTATTTTGACTTTTGTTATTTACAGAGTATTTGAAGTGCAACACAATTATCCAAATTATTGGTATGTATTTGTAAAGCCCTTACCTGAGCAACAATGGTGATGTTGAACACAGGAACACTTTCATAGTCTAGTGGCTTCCTAAGCACCAGCGATCCACTTAGCGGGGACTCAAAACTAAACATATCCTGAAGCAAAGAAGACTGAAATGTCAGTAGTTGTACAGTAACGAAAACTGTAATAATATCGGTAGAATTACCAACAATATGTTAGGTAAAAGGACATGTGCAATTAATGACATTTTCAAGTTCTTGGAGAGCGAAACGTTGCTTTGGTAAGATGTTACATGAACTGCATGTGTCTTTTTATCTAATGGTAATGAAAACTTCCTGTAAGCACTGAAATCCTAAAAGTGAGTGAAGTTTTTTATTATAATTACAATAATGGTATACAATACTGAAAGGATGAGGAATTACATATGTGCAATACCTGGGTATCTTTATTCAAAGATGTTTAGCCATCTAATCAGTTTTTTCAAATTCAATACAGAGATGATATACTGAGACAGAAGATGATGAGGTTACCAGTCCCTCAGCTTTACAAAACTATACACAGAAGACATTGGAAAATGAGGTTAGGCAATCAGTTCCTCAGCCTAGAAGCCAATGTTCACCACCTCAGCCTTCATGAATAAGAAGATGAATCAGATACATTAAGACTAAGGTACTGAACACCTACACTGAGGGACTGATTACCTCATTCTCTATTGTCTTTATGTATTATCTCTGTACTGAACTGAAAAAGTCAGCAGATGGAAAAAATGTCTTCAAATAGCCAAGACTTAGACTTCCAAAACACTGATTGTTTGTACATGAAATTTCACATAACTGCAGTAAGGATCATGTACATGTATTGTCAATTCTTTCAAACTGATAAGAAATCAATATAAAACAAGATATTATTTATAACTCAAAATATTTCATGAGGACAATAAAACAGAAGTGAGACTTACATAGATAGTAATAATAATTTTATTTCAGAATGATACAATGTTCGTACAGAGATGGGTTAGTTGTGCATGCAGAAAGCCTAGTTATGCAGAGCATTTCAAGCAATCTCTACAACCATGGTGCTGTAAACACCACCTCCAAGGCTGAGGGACTGATTACCTCATCTTTTGTATATAGTTCTTCTGTTTTCTAATTACGTCCAAGAATCTGTATTGATAAAGCCACTGGATGGCGAAACGTCTACAATAAAGATAACCAGATGTTGCACAAGTGTCTTAACTTTCATTTCAAGCAAGTTCTTACAGCTATGCCAGGTAGTACTCAATAAAACTTATATCAAAGTAACCTTCCAGGTGGGTCCCTTGATATTAGTGAAGAGCCCTTGATACAAGAATTGAAGCTACCCTTTACTTCTTTGGATTAAACCTGATTATCTCCTAGCCTTTAGGAAATGTGTGTTATAGGTTCAGCATTTCAATGCGAATTTAATACTCTTAAAAATAAAATACTACAATTCTTGCAAGCTGAAAAAATAAGAAGCACTTACCGAGTATGGACCAGACATGATGGAGTACTGGACAGTAGAGAACGGTCCTTGTTGGTCATCATCCTTAGCCAAGATGTCTCCAACAATTACTGTCCCAACCACAGTTACCTTGAAAGACAACACATAAGTCACATCCATGGTCCTTATCCATTTTATTATATTACACAAGTTATGATATAGAGCTCTTTCAAGGGGTGCCTTAATGTTACCCTCCCTTTCCTTGGATCCAGTCCTAAGATCATATATGACCCCATCACTTCATCAATATTGAAGAAACATCAAGACTGTCTCAGTTATATTTATGTGTGATTAAAACTTATTGTACTGTGTGTCAGTGTTGTTTTGTGTGATTATTGTACCGAGTGGCTAGGGGATTTTATTTATACTATAGTGTTAGTTTTGTTTAGTTATTACAAGGGAATATCTTGATCTTCAGAGTAACTGTTGCTATACTTAAGCTAAATGTTAATTTATTATAATTTAATGTCAAAGTATAATGAATGTACTAAAATTTTTTTTAAATAAAATATAGAAACAATAATAGTATTAATACTGACCTCTGAAACATTGACATAATAAGGACTGTTGATGAAGACTGGAGCATTGTCATTATCATCAGTGACTCTAATATTCACAGGAATAGTGATGCTCTGTTCAGTAAGAAAAAAAAACATTAAAATTATTACTTAAAAATCGAATCCTCAATTGAAAAATAAAACACAAAATAAACTATTATTTAGTCACCTTTAGCATAGCCTGAAAAATATCATCTTGAAAATATGAAATAAGAGCAATACCTAGAGAGAGTTCCAGGGGTCAACGTCCCCGTACATGTACAAGGTATATAGGCCTAGCTGACGTCAGTGACATACTACCATGTAGTAGAAAGTTGCTTGTTATGCTGAACATTCCCCTCAAGGAAGGTTCCTTGATGCTGGTGAAGGGCTCTTGATCTAGGGAATTGGATCTATCCTCCAGTTCCCTAAATTAAGCTAGAATGCCTTCCACATCCTCCCCACAGGTGCTGTATAATCCTACGGGATTATCCAGGTAAACTCCAGGTCCAGGTAAACGGGTTTAGCGCTCCCCTTGATTATAATAATAATATGCTGAGCATTTCGGGCAAATTGTCAATTTTGTACCCAGGATGTGACCCACATCAATCAACTAACAACCAGGTACCTACTTTACTGATGGGTGAACATGGACAGTAAGTGTCATAAGGAAACACGTCATAATGTTTCCACCCATACCAGGGATCAACCCCCAGACCTTAATGTGTGAGCTGAGTGCGCTACCAACCCAGGTACGGGACACCTGTTGGTTAAACTCAAAGGAAAAAACTCTTACTCCCAATAAAACCTCTACAGTGATCGGTTTTCAGGTCCAGTTGAAAACTATCCATTTTTTAATTAAAGGCATCCTCCTCCAGCAATTGTCAAAAACTTCTCAGAATCACTAGGGAATCTTCAGTGCCAAATTTGATACATAAACAAGAAAATACACAATGATCTTGAGTTTAAGCCGAAGATCCAGGCATTATGGAAAATCTAGATTATTATAATCAAAACCAAGCGTTAAACCTACTAGGGTCATACAGCTGGAAAATCTAGAGAAAAATGACAGTGAGGATTTGAGGTCATGTTGCCATTGTCTATTTCATACAATGCTTACTGACTCGGCCTGTATTTTTTTTTTAAATATGAAACTGACAAAGGACCCAATGGAAATAAGTCACTTTGACTTTTTTTTGGTTATCCCAGGTCCTCTACACGTATGCTGATATGTATAATACGTATATCTAACTGTATTTGTGTATACCTGAATAAACTTACTTACTAGCAATTATGGAATATTTTTTTGCCAACACTGTTCCTCTTTCTGGAAGGCATCTTAATAGTCAATTTTCATGTGACTTGTTACCTATTGTTATTGAAGCTACGCTCTCCTTCCTTGGATTAAAACAATTACCTCCCATTCTCCAGGTGCGATGACCTCAACGGCTTTTGTTTCTCAGTGAATAATAATAAATAATAATAATAATAATATAATACATGTAATAACAACACTAATAATAATATAATAATGATATATAATATAATAATAATAATAATAATAATAATTAAAAGATAATAGTTGATAAGTGTGTTCCGGTGTTATTTATGGAGGTTGAGAGAAGTGGAGGTGCCACCAAGGTTGCTGTGTCAAATGTATTAAGTCAACGGAACTGATAACGGGAAGATGATATGGAAGACATTGTTCTTGTCACCACCACCAGCCATCACTGTCACACCTCCCACCATTATGCCACTAACATACTCAAAAAGAGTTATAATGAATATACAGTGCATTCACACACAAAAAGCTAAAAAATAAAAGGACATTATTCACGCTATTTAACAGCATAACCAAAGAAAGATAAGCAGTGTAGCTTCCATTAAGGTCTTAAGGTCACCCACGAATCGATAATACCAAGTGAAATTCACATACATATATTTGCACATGATCCATTATATTACCATGACTTTCAGAGGTGGACCAGTAAGCCAGTGGAAGTCCTCGGTCAGGGGACCAAAAGTCCCAAACATGAACTTTATTAAGCTCTACGCATACTCATAAAACTCGACACAAATTATATAAAGCTCTATGAGTTCACCGCTTAGTTATTATAATAAAAGCTCTATACAAACTTCATTCATCTCTATACATACTCTATAAAGCTCTACATGGAGACTTCGGAAGTGAGTGGTGTATAGACCTTACAGTGTCAGGCTTAGGAATGCCGTGGACTTGCTAACAGGACACAGCCTCTCAAGTTCAGTTGATGTAGGCGTCTGCCTGGAGGGATACATGTAAGATACGGTGGCAGACGGCAAGACTTTCCCTCGATAGTACATTTGACTGAGATTATCTCTGAAGTACGACCTCTACGAGTTTAGAGCCCAGTATAAAGGGAAAGCGGCCAGCGCTGCGGTGTAATTATTTCTGTATACACCATGACGCAAGGTAATTATTGGTTTCAGGTTACCTGGATACCTGGAGGTTGGTTGCTTGCTTAATGGGGTTTATAGCCTATCGACTATACGAGGGTCATTAAGGCCGCATGTCACCTGCTCACCACCAGTCAAAAATACTTTCAATACCCTGCAATAGGATTAAATTATTATCGTATATAGTATACTGGGAGACATACCTCTCTGTATATATCTTGCGCAGCATTATTTATATATGTAGAGCTACACCATTACTGTTGAGCGATGTGTAGGCTAGCACCAGTAAATTACAACCTCATCCTTTATACAGCTTTATACTTCCTAGCTTCTTGCTGTAAGAAATATCTCTGATAGTGGCGTCGTGTGAGGAAGGCTGAGATTCATCAAGGTTCAGTGTGCCATGAAGCTAAACTGAAGATATTTTAACTAGGTGTGTCTTGTAAGGTGACCACAACAATGAATGAGGTGCCCACCCTGGGTACCTGCTCACCCTGGGTACCTGCTCATCCTGGGTACCTGCTCACCCTCGGTACCTGCTCAACCTAAACGCCTATGTAACCTCTACTGCGAGTTGCGGCTCGTTTGTTGTGGTGAGTGAGCCATGAGGGGATGGGAATGGACAGGGTGATGGGATGGGATGGGAGGGTAGAGGATAATGGGAGGGGAGAGAGGTAATAGGAGGGGAGAGGGGGATTGAAGGGGAGAGGGTGATGGAAGTAGAGAGGGGTTATGGGAGGGGACGAAGGGTGATTTTTATCTTGGGGTGGCTTTTATCCTGAACTTCAAGAACCTGCATTAAGACTCAAGCAACACACCAATAATTGAGTCTCCCATAATACTTATAAATACTACACCTCATCATCAACACTTGCTGCTGCTGCCTTCTGCCATTTTCATACCATCCTGTGGGATATTCTAAATTATGTGAGGCATGCTGGGAAGAGTGAAGAGGTGGTGGTATTAAAAAAAAAAAAGAGGGAGAGGGAGGTGCAGGCATTGGATGGTGTTGGGGTTAGGTGAGGAAGATATTGAGTTGGCATCAGAAAAAGAATAAGGGATGTAGAGTGTTGTGAGAGGTGTTGGGGGAACTTACAGGGTCAGTAGTTCCTCGCCGGTCACAGATAATGTTGACGACGACGTGTGATGGTCCGTCCTTACCCTGGGAAAACAGCATAACGTCAGTACAGCTCGCTCATTCACTCTCTCTCTGACCTGCTAGCCTGGATAGACTGCACAATTGATCAATTGAACTAGTGGTTACTGAAGTTCAATCGAACTCTGGATTCGACATAGCGGATAGGAACAGACTAAAATAAAAAGTCACAGGGGCGAGAGGTCACAGATGGAAGCTGATCATTATGGATCCAGCGCTTTCCGTGGATATAATAATGACAGGAAGACATTATTACGACTTACACACTGATAAGAGGACTCGACATGGACAAATATCTAGTAAGTATAAAAAACTTTTACTACAACGCACACTACATCATCACATCTACAGCTACCATAAGAAGTAACTATCACTCTACTGTTACACTACATCAACCATCACCCTACAACCACAAGTCACTATCACTCTACTGTTACACTACACATCATCACCTACAACACAAGTCACTACACTAACGCTCATACAACATATCACCCTAATACACACCACAAGTCACTATCCCTCCACTGTTGTTAGTTTAATATGTTTATTATGCACCCTATACCCATCCTGTGGGCGGTAGTCACACCATACCCATCCTGTGGGCGGTAGTCACACACTCTATAGTACCATACATAGTGGGCAGGTACGGCCACACCATGAACCATATGTGGCGGTAGTCAAGTTTACATACAAATGTCCAGGACTGACCCAACCACTATACACTATATCAATCATCATCCACAACCCACTACCACAAATCACTATCACTGCATTGCTACACTACATCAATCATCCCACCACAACCACACTACCACAAGTCACCATCTCTCCACTGTAACATTACAAAACACCATACCACACATGCCATCACCACAATACACTACTACCATATATCTACCACACAAGACTCACCTCCTTGTCTAACATCTTGGTGAGTGTGAGGTTCTTGGAGTTGGCAGAGATCTGGACTGGTGAATTCTTTTCCTTAAGACGGAGATAAATGTCTCCGTCCTGACCCGCGTCTCCCTCCAGCCTCAGTGTCCCTGTATAATAACAATATAATATATTTATTCACTACAAGTACATGGTATACAGGCCTAGCTGACATCAGTGACATACTACTATATAGAAAGGCCCTTGTTATGCAGAACATTTCGGACAAATTAGGTCCTTGTCCCCAGGATGCGCCTCCACATCGACTGTCCGTGTATCACATTTTACTACGAGTGTGAACAAGACAGGGCAGACCTACTCATCGTGATAGCGAAGGTCTTAGGTCACGGAGCACTTCCGCATGGGTGTTCAGTCTCCCCAGGACTCTCATCAGGACCCTAAAACCCTACCTGGAGACGAAGGGACATGGCTAGTAAGTGCCACTTAACTAAGGTTGCCACACAGGAGAACTCTGGAACGAGAGTCTCCAGATCTCCTCCGACTCAGACTCACAGAATCTGCAAAAATGATTACTTCATCTAGGTTTATAAAATATATTACTATCTAAAATGTCCACATTATATAATTAAATAGACCGTAGGTCCATACCATGAATCGCCTTTCTCAGCAAAGGCAAATTTTAATTGTATCTTCTTGGAGTCTTCTTTTAAACATTGCAGTCTACTGATGATTGTTATTATACAAAGGTCTAGAGGTATCATCAATCTCCTTCTTATATAGTATTTTCATAAATCAGTAACATGGTGATTTCAACTTTATGCAAACAACCTCTGAAAGGTTTAGAGAATACAAAGCGCTTAGGCTATACTCACATATCCAATATAATGTAGTGCACAAGAAGAGCCTTGGAAGTTCTCTATTCTTTCAGAGTGGTTTTTTATATATATATATTATATATATATATTATATATATATATATATATATATATATATAATATAATATATATTATATAAACTACAGCGTAATAAAAGTTTACAGAAATAATAAGTAGTATCATGAAGGCCTTCAGTATTCCTGACTGGGAGTTTACATATTTCTACTGTTAGTTGTGGTATACTGTGTTGAACTTAGTATATAGTAGTGATGTTAACTTGTGGTAAACACTACCACCATGTAGGTCACGCACCTCAAACATTAACAATAAACATCATCATAAAATATTATACACTTCTCTGATCCACTCACTCGTCTGCGTTTTTCTTTTATGATTTCAGTTTTAAAATGATAATGACACATGCGACCTCTTCAGCGCAGAAGCAAAGGCAGAGCGTGACTGGACGAGGTGCGGCAGGGTAAGGTGGGTGTGGCAGGGGTAGATACAGGGGGCAGGGAAACAAGGCAAGCCGAGGCAGGAAAGGGCGAGGTGGGAGGCAGAGCGAGGCAGGGCGAGGCATGGCTGAGCAGGGCAGGGCAGGGTGTGCAGGGCGGGGCACAGCTAAGTGGGGAGGTGATCACAGCAGTTACAATGATAATACATCAGGGGGATCAGCAGTTGTTACAGCTTTTATTCACTCCAGGTGAAAGTTAAGGTAGTGTGTGTGTGTGTTGTGTAATGGTGCGTATCATCAAGTGTGTGTGTGTGTGGTAATGATGCATGTACATGTTGCTGCTGAGGACGCACTCAACACACTCAGTAATCAGTCCCTCAGGGACTGATTACCTCAAACTCCTTCTGATCCTCACCGTTTTTCTTTGTATGAGACCGATGAAGCTACTGAGTGGCGAAACGTTTCCTCAATAAAGATACCCAAGGTCAGTGTGACTTTGTAGATGGTCCAAATCGGACCGAAACGTCGTCGTAAGCTCCTCTCTTCTATGTGCGGGTTATTTGTGTGTCGTTCCAGTCATGGTATTGTGCCTTTTTTTTATTTAAGATACCCAAGTGCTGCATATGTTTCTAATTTATCACCTTATCGGGTCTCTGAACTATCTGCATTTGTCCTCTATAATGATTTTGTCCTCTATAATAACTTCATGTCGTCTAACTCAATGCTCAGTGGCTATGATACAAAGTTTACCGACATAAACAGCGCAGTGACCGTAGACTCCTAGCAACAGCTTTCCGCGGAAAATTTGATGTCTCCATGATGGTGAAGGGCTCTTGATCTAAGGAATTAGAGTTACCCTTCCTGAGATCAAACTTAATTGCTTCATATTCCTCAGGCGCTATATCACCCTTCAGGGTTTAACGCGTGACACAATAATATATACATAAGGAAGAAGGAGCACTGCCACAGGCCTACTGGCCCATGCTAGGCAAGTCCAAGTTGGTAGGTAAGACACATAGGCAACAGTTAGGCAACTTTATTCCGAAACGTTTCGCATACACAGTAGTCAGTTCCTGATTATGGAACTGAACTTCTCCAGGCTGAGGGACTGACAACATCAAAATTCTACGACTTCAAGGGTGATGGACTGATTACATCGTCTTCACATCTCTACTGTTCCTGCCTACTTTCTGTATTCGACTGAAGAAGCCTACTGTGTAGGCGAAACGTTTCGGAATAAAGTTGCCTAACTGTTGCCTATGTGTCTTACCTACCAACCTGTCGGTATTGTATACCATTTTGATGTCAAGTCCAAGTTACCTACTGGCCCAAGCCAGTCAGGACCGACTCACACCCATCCACACCCACTTATGTATTTGTCTAACTATTTCTAAAACAATACAACGTTTTAGCCCTAATAACGCTACTCAGGAGTTTGTTCCATTCATCCACAACTCTACTGCCAAACCAGTGTTTTCCTATATTCTTTCTAAATCTAATTGTTTTCCAACTTGAAACCATTACTGCGAGTCCTGTCTTGGTTAGATAGTTTCAGCACGTTGTTTACATCCCCTTTATTTATTCCTGTTTTCCATTTATACACCTCAATCATATACCTCCCTAATTCTACGCCTTTCTAGGGAGTGCAGATTCGGGACTCAGTCTATATAGAGAGAGGCATAACTACTAAATAGTTATAACTATGACCATAATTTTTAAAGGGGTGGACCGGTAAGCCAGTGGAAGGCCTCGGTCAGATGACCAGAAGCTCCAACGGCGGGTCATCATCTAAGACCCGCGTCAGGAAACACTTGTCTTGTTTCCTGACGAACCTTACCCAACCTGCACCATATACACGTCACAGCCTGTACTACACCCAGGCATCACAGTAACATTAGGTGTATGCTGACCACACTGACACTGAATATATCAAGGGTGGCTGAGTCAGTTCCTTGGTCATCTTCATGCACCAGGCTACTGCTTAATATGCACTCTCAGTGATGTAATTATCACGCTCTCTCCCACGCTGTTCTCTCGCTCACTGTTAAAATGTTAGGGGAAAGAGGGAGAGGGAGAGAGAGAAAGCGTGGGCAGTTACAGACTTCACAGTAATCAAAGAGCGAAACTAATCTGACAATTTTCTTTTTCTCTGGACGCCTCTCGTGAGAAGCACTAAGCTGTTAGGTCAGTCAAGTGCAACAGACTGTGTCTTTGTCTGTTATAAGGTCAGTTAGGAGCGGCAGACTGTGTCTGTCTATTATAATGGAGGCAGAAGACCAGTGCCAAAAATTAGACCAGTAGCCCCTAACATCACACAACACAAAAGTCTTTGAAAGAAAGAAGAGACGACAAATTACAAATATTATGGAACATCACAACCTACATAACCCCAACCAACATGAATTTAAAGCAGGAAGATCATACATGTCACAACTACTAGTACCAAGGTACTAGAAGACTAAAATGCAGGTGTTATATACAGGTATTTTACAAAGGCATTCGGCAAATGTGATCACGGAGTGATTGTACATAAAATGAGGTGATAGATATAACAGGAAGAGCAGGCAAATAAATATTCTGTTCTATGAAAAATAGAACATAAAAAGTAGTATTAAAGAAAAAAAATCCAGGTAAACTCTCTCCAGGTAATTAATTAACGAAATAAACATCCTAGTACCACTAGGCTCTGTCCTGGCGCCTCTACTGTTTCTCATACCCATAACTTAGATAAAAACTCGGCACACTTTCAAATCATCACTTGCGGATGATACTAAAATAAGCATGAAAAACACCACGATAGAAAACACCGAGAAATTGCAAGAAGATACGAGTAAAGTCTGCCTCACACACTCTTACAGTGGACCATTAGTTACATCCACCCAGTTGTCTACTTACTGTTAGGTGAACACACCCTCCCAGGTACCTACTTACTGCTAGGTGAACACACCCTCCTAGGTACCTACTTACTGCTAGGTGAACACACCCACCCAGGTGCCTACTTACTGCTAGGTGAACACTCACCCAGGTGTCACTTACTGCTAGGTGAACACAGGCAGCAGGTACCACAAGATTCGCTCATACGTCTATCCATGCCTGTGACGCAGCCCTTAGCAATCGCCTAACACTCAGGTGCCTATTTACTGCTAGTGAAAATTGTTAGGAGGCTTAAGACACGCCTTACATCTTACCTAGTCCGGGAACTATACCCGCGACAGTCTTTTATGATGACTACTGATAATTGCTGTCACAGGCCCTCTGATTGCTGTTACTATACAAGTACTGTATAGTGTGTAAGCTTTGTCTGTGCTGGAGGTCACAGTGCTGGCCACTAATAGTGATGAATTTCTGTTTTGGGTCAAACTAGGGATGAAAACAATGTTATGTGACTGACCTTGTTAAGGTAGGTAGTACGTGTGTGTGGGGGGACTCTGGCGTCCCTGATGATCATACAACACACAAGTTACGAGACCACCAAGTTATGAACAATGAGACTAGGATATGTTTACTGGCTGGCTGCTGCGGCCTCATGCACCACATCATGCTCTAGCCTTGCTCACCATGGACTACACTGTTCTTGCTCACCATGATATGTTGTTCGTATTTCTCTAGCTACTATCGTGACTTGCCAAGCTTAACGCACCTCAGCCTTGGCTGCTGCCTCACCTGTCACGTACATCCTCATCTACACTTTTAAAGAATATTATTAATAAAAATTCTGCGGTCAAGCAGCTACTAATATCCATGCATGTAAGCCTAGGAGGAAGGTCACTAAAAGGCCAACAAGACTTCACAAAATTCCTACAAAAAATTAAAAAAAAATTGGTAGGATTTATAAAATTGCTGAAATACAATATTCTAGGCCACAAAACTCTGGTATTTACACAGTTTTGCTACAACTCACAACTCACTTTCATAGCTGCAAACAACCACAAAAAAATCCACAAATAAAAAAAACATTTAAATTTTCAGTTGATAATTGAACTGCTCACTACGTCACTCACTATAAACCTATAGTTTTAATGTCTTTTACTGA